AAAATAAGAATGTTATAAATTTTTGAAAAATGGGCGTAGCCACGCCCACTTATGGTTACATGTGTATATCTTGGTAACCGCTGCACCAATTTCTTCCAAACTTGGCACAGTTGTTGGCCCTGGTACAGCATACCAAATGGCCGAAAATTTTTAACATCGGACAATAACCACGCCCACATCCCATTTAACGGTAATTTCGAGAAATACGAAATCCTCGATAAATCAGTAAATATTAAAGCTAATTTATTCAAAATCGATGCTTGCAGCAATTCTTTACCAAGAAATACGTTTATGATAAAATTTTGGAAAATGGGCGTGGCACCGCCCACTTATGATCACATATATTTATCTCGGTAACCGTTCTACCAATTTGTAACTCGGTACGGTTATTGTGCTTGCCACAAAACATTGAAAATGATTGAAATCGGACTAAAATTACGCCTACTTTTCATATAACGGTAAATTACAGAAATGCTTGAAATTTCGATAACTCAAAATTTAAGGGCGCTAATTTACTCAATTAATCGCCCTCAAATAATACTCACAATAATCTCTTAAAATAAGATTATTATGGAATTTTAGAAAATGGGCGTGGTAGCGCCCACTTATAGCTGTATAACTTTATCCTATCAAGTATAACTGAACATACTTAGGGAGTTCACAAGTCGTGCTATTTGTCATATTTGCTCTTTTGTACTATTTTTTTAGAACAGTTGTAAAATGAAACTTGTGAGCATCCCATACTTTTTCGTGTGCTATTGTACAATATTTTAACAATTATATTTGACAAAATCAAAATTATTAAAACAGCTTTAGAAAGTTTCTAATGCCCAGAAGAAGCGAGAAAAGCAAATTAATGGCTGCGATTTGCGAGAAGTACGCGCAGGACGCAACGATGGAAGGAAGTGAGTCGTCAAATAAGTCATTTATGAGTTTTTTAAATTTATTTGGTGCATTTTTGTTAGGCGATGAAGATGAGGAGGAAGAGATCGATGAAACTTTTAGGTTGAATATGCTTGTGTTGTTGGCAAATCGCCGAAGTGTCCATCTAGGAGTTCCGAAATCAAACAATTGGGATCTGAATGTGTTACAACCTCAAATAGGCGGTTTTCTAAAAGAAAATCAATTAGGGACTTCTCTTCCGACACTGTCCACACATGGTTTGGTTTTCCCCGGACACGCTTAGTTTTGCACTGAATTAAAAAAGATCTTTAATAAGTTAAATATGTTATAAATTAAAGATAACTTACTCCATTGCCATGAGATGACTCCATTTTTATACCCGAGCGCACTTGTGCACAAGGGTATTATAACTTTGTTCACATAACGGTTGTTTGTAACAGGCAAAACGAACCGAGATAGATATAGACAAATGTATACATAAATGATCAGGATGAAAAGAGAAATCGATTAAGCGGTGACTGTCTGTCCGTCCGTCCGTCCGTCTGTCCGTCCGTCTGTGCACACGATAACTCGAGTAAAAATTAAGATATCTTAACGAAACTTGGTACGTGTACTTCTTTCGGGCGTAGGACGGATGGTAGTGAAAATGGGCAAAATCGGACAATAACCACGCCTACCTCCCATATAACGGTAATTTTCAGAAATACGAAAACTGCGATATTTAAGTAACTACTGAAGATTATTCACTCAAAATTGATATTTGCAATAACTTTTAGACGAAAAATAAGAATATTATAAATCTTTGAAAAATGGGCGTAGCCACGCCCACTTATGGTTACATGTGTATATCTTGGCAACCGCTGCACCGATTTCTTCCAAACTTGGCACAGTTATTGGCCTTGGTACAGGATACCAAATGGCCCAAAATTTAAAAAATCGGACAATAACCGCGCCCACATCCCATATAACGGTAATTTGGAGAAATACGAAATCTTCGATAAATCAGTAAATATTAAAGCTAATTTATTCAAAATTGATGCTTGCAACAATTCTTTACCAGGAAATACGCTTATCATAACATTTTGGAAAAGGGGCGTGGCACCGCCCACTTATGATCACATATATGTATCTCGGTAACCGTTCCACCAATTTGTACCAAACTCGGTATGGTTATTGTGCTTGCCACATAAAAGCAAAACGTTCAAAATTATTGAAATCGGACTAAAATTACGGCTTTTCATATAACGGTAAATTTTAGAAATGCTTGAAACGTCAATATTTCGAAATTTAAGGACGCTAATTTATTCAAAATTGATACACCCCGGCTTACCATGTAGCGGTAGCTTTCGGAAAGGTGAAAAGCCATATATGTAATACTTGCGCCGGGTATTTAATGTTCGGCCCCGCCCGAACTTAGACTTTCTTACTTGTTAAAAATAACTTAAAGTAAGTTTGCTATAATAAGCGTTAAATAAGCATTTTTAATATTAAGCTTATTAAAAAATTTTTCAAATAAACCTTTAATAAGTTTTGAGAGCGAATGTTTATAAATAACTTAAACTTATAAATGAAATGCAAATGCCAACGACATGAAGTAGTAAATATAAATTTTTTCAATCGAAAGTGACGTGTTTACGTTTTTTAAAATATATTATGAAAAGGAAAAAATTAAATAAAACCAATGCGGTAAAAAAAATCTAATCCAGGACCAGCTGCGCTAATCGGTAGAGCATTCGAGTCTTCAAATGATGAGTTCTCCTTATCCTTTCTTAGTTTGAGTTCATCAATGAGAATGGCGGCGATGAAGCGGAATATATAGCTGCATCGATGTCGTTTTTCCAATTTGCCAATAACCGCTTGTAATTGAAAGCACGCAACAAGATATAATAATTAACTTTTTTATGCTTAATTTTTGTGTGTTATCGTGAATTTGTATGCTAAAATGTCTATTCCCTATTTACATTTTCGCGACTGTAGATGAGTCCGCCGAAAATTCGCATTTCTTTTGGTTTCTAGATGTTAAGCAATCTATGTATGAGTTTTTATTGAAATATCTTTAAATAAAGGGTTATAAAAATGTTTATAAAAAGCTTTTTTTTGAAAATTTTTAGTAAGTTTATATTCATACGCTTATAAACATCCTTTTTTGAACCTTTATTATAAGTTTAAACTTTTACGCTTATAAAAAGCTTTCTTTTGAACATTTATTAAGAGTTTATATTTTTCTACGCTTATAACCAATGTTCCTTTTCGATTATATTACGCTTACTTTCAAGCGTTTTATAAACAAAAAATCAACGTTTTGTAAGCTTAATGTTTATAATTGAAAACTTAAAAAAACTTTCTTTAAGTTTATTTTGCTTGTTGGGTAGGTATAAACAAGGTAATTGTTTGAATATTGTTATGGCGATACATGATTCAATAATTAAAGGTTTGCTCATTATTGACATTCGACTTTTGACACTCCCTTAGCTGCCTTACAAAAGCTTCGCATACACACACGAACCCACACACAGTGCTTTGCTAAGGGAGCCGATTTTGTCAAGAGGGAGCGAGAAAACTGCTTTTTGAGCAAACCTTTTATTATTGAATCATGATGGCGATACACATATCGGAACAGGTATTCACTCAAATTCAAAAAGAATTTTAAGCCAAAATCATTCATTCGTTTTGTATATGAATAATTTATATACCGTACGGTACGTTTTTAATAAATTGTTTTTGTTGTAGCGGCTACAACAACCCCGTCCAGACCGGTTTGTCCCGCAATCGTTGTCAAGCTCTACTAACGGAAGACCCAGGAAGCGTGCAGCCTCGATGGGGTCTGTCAATAAGGACACAGGCGTTAGCAGGGTGGGATTCAGTGGGCATGCGAAGAGATGTTTCGAGTCGTGGGGCGTCTGTCCGCACGTCGGGAATTCGTTTGGCACATCTGCATTTATTCTGCTCAGGTACGAGTTTAACCTGCTGCAGTAGCCAGAGCGAAGTTAAGCTATTGTGGTACGAGTCTCCCGAGGCAGACAAAGCCCGTCCACAGCATTCACGGTCGAGAGTCTATATAACTCGAGACTGACTCCCTGTGAATGCCGTTCAGGGCCTGTCGGTATTCTGTCCGCTCCAGAGGTTGTCTTATGAACCTTTGGACTTCGTCCGTCAATTCATATACATGCCTTCTGACGTGCCGTGGCGAGGATTCTTCTGCAAGCAGAAATTGCTTGCAGAGCATTGGGTTATGCTCCTTAATTGGGAGCATATGGTCCTCGTCGTGCAGCTAATGTTGCGGCGACATCAGAAGGCATCCTGTCGCTGTCCGGAGTGCCGTGTTTTGGCAGGTCTGTAGCTTCATTCACTGCATCTTACTAGTACCCGGAGACCACACACTCGCTGCATAGTTCAGAACCGCCGGCCAATTGCCTTGAACCTTGCCAACAACGTTTCTTTGTTTTTGCCCCAGGTGCTGCCGACTAGCGACGTGAAGACCTTGTTGCGGCTTTGTATTTTATTGACAATTGCGGTTGTATGCGCCGAGAGGGAGGGAAGACTGTCGAAGGTTACTCCGAGGATCTTCAGGTTGTTCACAGTCGGAATTGGTTCTTCATCCACGTGAATACCCAGTTGCAGTCTGACCTCCTTCGTCCAGGTGGTGAAAAGCGTTGCTAAGGGAGGAGAGATAACCGTTTACTTTCGAGCACTCTTTTGAATGAATTCATGCAGCCCTCTAGTACAAAGCAAAACGGACCTAAGATTCAGATTCGGCGATAGGTGGGTTTGGTTAAATACACCGGCCACTTTTTTGTGTGCCGCTGCACTCGAAATTAAGCCGTTGACTCGTACACCCTCAAAATTTCGACTAAATTGCGAATTTTTGGCTAATTTTTCACTATTTTCGCAACCAAATCGAAGTTTAGGATGAGTAAGAGTAAAGCAGACCTCATATTCGGATTCAGTGGGTTGAAATATGTACATCCCGGTAGGTGGGTCTGGTTAAACGCACCCACCATTTTTTTGTGTGCCGGTGTAATAAATGAAAATGAAGAAAAACCATGTCAAATCCGGACTTAGAAATCATGCTATTTTCATAGCTCATTGTTACTTACCTGTGAGTTTTCATAGTTCAAGTTTGCTCGCTTTTCGGCCCAATATTCATAAGCATTCTTGTAGTTCAACCACACCAAAATAGCCTTATCAACGGCGATCGGTTGAATATACAGAAGTGGACGCTTCAGCTTTAACAACACCAGCTCTTTATCCTCATTTAACAACTCATCTTGGAAGGCATTTCGCAAACCTATGGTTGTATGGAAGAAGGCATACTGTTGGAATTCCGGTTCAGCCTCATCAAAGATTACATTACGTATAATTTGGCCCAGCGAAAGGTTAAAATCGATATGGGCCTTGCCAAACATTTTACGATCATTTCCTTCGCCCAAATTTTTTACGCGATTAGACAAATGCAGCTCTAGCGTGCCAGTTTCAAAGCGCACTGCTGAAGAGCAGGGCGTTGTAGCAGTCAACTGTATTCGCTTCATCGATATGTTGACCGAAAATAGTATGCTTTTCATCGAAGACTCTTGTACGCTGGCTGTATCACCACTATCTTCAGACCATAGGGGCACTGGCTTTTCGCCGCCGTACACTTTTTGTAATACTTCATTAATCTCGCGCATGAAAACCTTCTGAACAAATACCAGATGATTCAGAAGATCAGTTGTTAAACAGCGCTCAAATTCGCCGATCTCAGCTGATGCATTCACATAGCCACCGCGACGTAATATGATACCTTCGACTCGTTCTGGTTCCTGAATAAGAATGCTTAAATGACTAAAATGTAAACAGATATAAATTACACATACATACCTCTTGCCTGTTTTCAGGTATATATTCAGCGCTCACATGAACTAGCGGTAGGCCGATACAGGCCTCAGAGGGCAAATTCATCTCATTCTAAACATGTAAATGTAAACCAATTTCACTCTCACTTTCTCGATATACTAAATACAATAAATCAATGAAGAATGATATCTACTCACCCGCACCTGTATCTTCGTATTAAAGCTTAGAGTATGTGTTGGCAAATCTATAACGAATTTTGCACGATTGCCAGTCACACCTGTCGAACTGACACAGTTCATACGATATTGTGCTTGTAACGAAGGCAATAGTGCTGCATTTATCGACAAGCTATGCAGTAAAATATTAAACTGCATAACCAACGGTTGAAGTAATCCATTATGTTGCGCTGGTATCTTATGTGGTGGTACTGCTTTCTTTTTCGGCTCCTGCTGTGGTTCAGCGTTCTCCTTCACATCAACGCTTTTGCCGGCGGAACGTGAATGATGTGGCGATTCTGGTTCATCGGGATTATGTGCACGTGACGCAGAGCGACCAGAATTGCGTCCAACACGCAATTCTTGCAGAGTAGAGCTTAGCTGCTTCGAACTGCGAGTCATCATTCCATGCAATGCGACGGGGTGTTGTGGTATTTCGATGTTCACTGGGCCAATTGAGAGCAATCCGCTGTTTTTATCTTTGCCACGCTTTGTCAAACTGGAGTAGAGCGTTTGACATTTTCCCACCGTTACTTTTACGACAGTTCTGTACAATAAAGGCAATTAGTACTGTCAATAATTTTACCAGCTCAACAACTTACTGTTGATTTGGTGCAACACCTTCCAAAAGTACGATCATGGTGCGACCTACTTGGCCAGTTACGGAGCATTCCAGTGATACCGGTCGTGCTTTTTTGCGCCATGTAGCACTGCCATTCAAGGTGGTTATTTCAGCTTCCAGTTTTAGGCCACTCAGTGTCGCCATTAAGCGCGTCTTATGAATTTTCGCCACACCAAATACAACCAGCCGGGTTTTTTCCTGCGACAAAGCTTCTATAATATGAAATATGTGTACATTAGAACCCTTTTTTACAAATAAAATATTGATCGTTCGCCTACCAACTAGCTCACGATGTTGCGGCAGAGGCGTTGGAGCACTTGTTCCATCATCTTCTTCATTACGCGTGTCCTGTCGCATATAACCACCAACTGAAGTTTTCTTCACTCCATATTTAAAAGCATCGTGTGTCTCATTGGACATTGAGCTACGTTGCACTGTCTTTGTTTCAGGCATGGTACCATATAGTTCTAACAAATTGTAAATTGTTTTCCAGCAATTTGGCGTCAGCATCAGTGGCTTTATACCATTGAAGTCATTTTTGTTTATGGTATTGCAGTCACCACTGACGCTGGTTGCGCATGCTCCATTGAGCGATGCCTTGGACTCTAGCGATAATTTGAACATATGCTGCTCGCTTACTGAAGTAATGGGGCTATCACGTAATGGTGAAGAGCTTGTCTCATTTAGATTTGTGTATCCTGAGCATATAAGATATGAAAATAAGCAACAGATGTATATTTTTTGTCATATATAATAATGTAAATTACCTAACTTTCCCTTAACAGATTTGCTAGTAGAGCGTAACTTTTGAGCAAAACTGGATGGCCGATTTCTGGCATTAGGGGAAGGTGTTAGCTGTATTAAGGGACCGATGCCACTAGGGCGTACCCTATATTATTTCAATAAGCAGTTCGTAAACATGCAAAGTAGATATACGTTAACTTTTCAACAAGAAGCTCACCTGCCTCCAATGGGATGTGTCATGGATATCATTTCATTGAATTTATCATAACGTTCATCTGAAGAGTTCTCATTATGGACAAAGCGATCTGGCACCGAACCGAAGGGGGCGATATCATTGGGCTCGGATGCTAAAACGTATAAAACAGTAACTTTAAACTATTATATTTATCCCTTTTTACTTACCTAAGCTACATTCGTCTTTGGCATCCGACTTTCTAGTCAAATCCGGTTGTTGATGAAATTCATTTTGAGCATCCTTGACATTCTGATACATGTTTGTGATTTGATGTAGTAGACGCAGCAGAGGCATATTAACCTATGGAAAAGGAGTAATAAATAGTAACACTGTGAGGCAGCCAATAAAATGGAAGAGCTCTAGAATATTGAACCACCTGCCGTTTTGTGGCTTAAAGTCACAATTTTTATACAGTGTATATCTAATTTGGTATCAGTTGTAGCCCAATTTTTTCACTTAAGTGGGTCAGTTTGAGGATGGTCCCGTGCGCAGACAACAAAAAACTGCCATTCACCTGGGAGTGGCCAGAAGTAATTCTTGTACGTACGATTCAAATCGCAGCTCACAACGTACGGATATTTATATCTAAAGCTAAAGTGAGAAGGCGTAAAACTTCGCGTGCGCTGGGTTTGGGTCCCGCCACGTTAAAACCCCGGCCAATGAAAAAGTTCAGAAAGCCTCCGATGAGACCCCCTTTTTTAATGATGACCACGGCAAACGTATAAAGGACTATGATTTGAGGGTATGCACCTGGAATATCCGGACCTTTAATGGGGAAGGTGCCTCTGCCCGGCTGGTTGATGTCCTCGGGAAGACAAAGACTGACATCACCGCCATCTATGAAATGTGAAAATGTGATGGACGGGGCAAGGCAAGGTATGCGTGATGCCTTGCGACCAGTGTTGCCGCTTTGGTAATTTTTAACCAAAATTGGTTATTTTTTTCTTTATTTAATAAATTTGGTAATTTATTTTTCAATTTGGTAACTTTTTTGATTCGGTCGTACATGTCACATAGCTCAATAAAGGCACGTTAGGAAGTGGCCCGTAAGCGTTTCATTTTATATAAATACCAGGAAATCCTGAAAGGCGAAAAGTTGTTCCAGCGTTCCTTGGTTAATAGACTGGTGTGATCTATAACAAACTGCTTGAAAGTGGCTAATGGGTGGTCGTACCTTTCCGTCAGTTTGTCTGCTTTGCAATTACCATCAATTTTCCATTGTACCCGACAACCATACATATGAGCTGAATACTATGTAAATATGTATGTTATCGTTCAAAAAGCTACGGCATTCAGTGGGGGACTTTACTCTGTGAGTCGAAAACTTTCAGGACTGCCTACAAGCGTTGCATTTTTGAGATATTTTCGGCTACTTGTTGACATTTTTTTGACAAATTTTAACATATTATTTTTTTTTTTATGTTAATTTTGGTAATTTTTTTTTTTTTAATATAGTTCTTTCTTTAGCAAAACCCGGGTAAATCCAAGTTTCAAACCTTTTTCAATAATAAATAACAAAAATTCAACAAACTTTCGTAAAACTCTCGAGGTTTTTGAATTAGATTTCCTAGAAAGATTCTGGTTACAAAATTTTGTAGCCCATTGAGTTCGAGTAGAATAAAGTCTAAGTTTTAAATCGCTAAAAATTACCGTTGATTTTTTAGAATAGCCTCATAAAAAATTCCAATGGTAACAAGCCGGATGATGTCAGTGGTCAAATGACATCCCCTCTACGGAAACTTATGCGCCTCAAGCTCCTCTGTTGCAATGAACCGTATCCATGACACTAAGGGCCGTTTGCACCATGTCTAGTTAACGCTAACTGGAGGTACATCCTTCAGTTAAGCACGTTAACTGCTTTATCGATCACATGTTATATGATGGGTGTCGATAACGTCGATAAAGATGTTTAACTGGGAGTTAGAATTAACTAGACATGGTGCAAACGGCCCTAAATGATCAGATGCCGTCAGTTGTTTTGTGGCCTGAGCTTTGTATCGATGGAGAAATAGTATATCCAAATGCAAAATATGCAATTAGCCATAAGAAAGTACCATGTTCTTAAAACGACGCGCAATGAACAAATTTGTTTCTTCGGCAATACGCTTGAAATCCTAAACAAGGGGTTATGTTGTGGCTTTCAGCGTTAACGCAGTTAAAAAAATTTTAGGTGAATGGAGTGCTGATTGCCTGAAAATCTTGTGTATTCGGATATATTTACATATGTACATACAAATGTATGTTTGTACAGTTCTGCATATAAAATAAGTTTGGGAATTTTTTGTTGAATTTGGTAACTTTTTCCGATGATTTTGGTAAAAAATAAAAAAAATTTTGTGGCAACACTGCTTGCGACGTCTACTACAGTTGCCACGCAAAGGAGCGCAAATTCGGTGTTGGAGTCGTGGTAGGAGAGACTCCGTCACCGAGTACTGGCGTTCACCCCGGAGGAGCGAGATTCTTCAACATCCCGCTCATCTGCGCCCATGCCCCGACGGAAGAGAAGGACGAGGCGTTCAAGGATCTCCTCTATGAGCGCTTTGAACGTACATAGGAGCGCATTCCCCCGAAATGATATCAAAATCGTGCTCGGCGATTTTAATGCCAAGTTGGGCAAGGAAGGTATCTTTGGCGCTACTGTCGGAAAATTCAGCCTACACGACGAAACGTCCGATAACGGACTGAGGATGATCGACTTCGCCGGAACCCGAAACATGGCAATATGTAGTACTAGGTTCCAGCATAAGAAGATCCACTAAGATACATGGCTGTCTCCATATCGAAAAACGAGAAACGAAATCGATCATGTTGTGATAGACGGAGGGCATGCTTTTAGCGTTTTAGACGTACGTACACTCCGAGGGCCAAATATCGATTCGGACCACTATATTGTTGTAGCCAAGATACGCACCCGCCTCTGTGCAGCAAAAAATGTGCGCCCAACAATGCAAGGAAAGCTTAACGTCGAAAAGCTGCAATCAGAACAGACGGCCAATTTATTCGCCACTCGACTCACACACCTGCTCTCTGACAGCACTCTTCAACAATCCGACATAAGCGAGTAGTGGAACCACATTTTCCTATCATTAAGTACCGCCGCCGAAGAAGTAGTTGGATTTCAGCGAGCCCGAAAGAACAGCTGGTACGATGAGGAATGTCAAGAAGGCGCAGGGACGCCGCCTATAGGGCCACGCTGCGATCGAACGCAACGCGAGCTATGTGGGGCCGTTATAGGGAACTGAAGATGTAAGCGAGGCGTGTTTGCCGCAATAAGAAGAGAGAGGCCAAGATACATACGTGAGTGCGAAGAGCTTGAGATGCTGGCCGACAGGAAGAACGCCCGAAAATCTGTCTGCAGAGCTATTTAAGTACGCCGGCGAGGAGCTGATGAGGTGCATGCATCGGCTCTTATGCAACATATGGTTAGATGAACACGTGCCCGACGACTGGAATTTAAGTGTGCTCTACCCAATCCACAAGAAAGGCGACCCCGCCATTCGCGCCAACTACCGCGGAATCAGCCTTCTAAGCATAGGTCACAAGGTCTTATCGAGTGCATTGTGTGAAAGACTGAAGCAAGCCGTCAACGAACTGATTGTGGCTTTAGGCCCGGAAAATCCACCATAGATCAGGTATTCACAATACCCCAAATCTTAGAAAAGACCCGCGAGAATAGGATCGGCACTCACCGCCTATTTGTTGACTTTAAAGACGCTTTCGACAGCACTAAAAGGAGTTACCCATACGCCGCTATGTCCGAATTTGGCATCCCCGAAAAACTGACGCGGCTGTGTAAAATGACGTTGAGCAATACCACCAGCTCTTTCAGAATGGGGAAGGACCTCTCCGAGCCGTTTGATACCAAACGAGGTTTCAGACTCCCTTTCGTGGGATTTCTTTAATCCCACGCCATCGATATTATTGGTAATTAGATAGAGATATAAAGCGAATGGGTCTGGTGGTGAAAGAGGACAAAACGAAGTATCTCCTGTCATCACACAAACAGTCAAGAGAATACGCGCCTTGGCCACACGTCACTGTTGACAGTTACAAGTTTGGAAAAGTACACGACTTCGTATATTTGGGAACCAGCATTAACACCATTAATAATGTCAGCCTTGAAATCCAACGGAGAATCAAGAAGTGCTATTTTGGACTGAGTAGGCAATTGAGAAGTAAAGTCTTCTCTCGTCGTACAAAGATCACACTTTATAAGTCACTCACCATGCCTGTACTGGTGTATGGCATGGACAATGAAAACATCTGATGAAGCGGAACTTGGAGTTTTCGAGAGAAAGATTCTGCGAAAGATTTACGAACCTATACGCGTTAGTGATGGCGAATACCGCAGACGATTTACCGATGAGCTGTATGAGCTTTGCAGCGATATAGACATAGTGCAGCGAATTAAAATTCAGCGGCTCCGCTGGCTTGGCCATGTCGTTCGAATGGACAGAAACGCTCCTGCTCTGGAAGTATTAAACGCGGGCCGCGATGCTGGTAACAGAGGAAGAGGAAGGCCTCCTCTGCGTTGGAAAGACCAGGTGGAGAAGGACTTGGCTTCACTTGGCATTTCCAATGGCGTCAGTTGGCACAGATGAGAAATAGCTGGCGTGGTCAAAATCGCTTAGGCGGGTACAGCGCCGATAAAGAAGAAGAAGAGTTTGAGTTTTAGTTTGAGCGTTATTTTGAAAAATATGGAAAAATTAAGTTTGTAGAGTCGATGGACGATTCAAGTGTTTAACAAAAATTTCATTGGGTCTTCTCAGACGAAAAGAGTGCGATAACGGACAAAAGTACACTATAAATTTTATTGTAACACTATTAAACAGCACTGACATGCATGGGTGTTCAGTTGCAGTTGCACGACCATACTCAATTCCGGACTTGGGTCGCCGATAGCGTCCCTTAGCAACGAGAGCAACTCATGTGCGAGATGCGGCAACTAATCCGTGTGTCGCCTCGGGTCACGACAGAAAAAGAGGGAGCTTTGGTAGGGACCAAGGGCCCCGTGAAGTCAATAAGTATCTATTGACCAGTAGATGCGACTATAAGCGGGCGTCTATTTTGAGCAAGCGACTAGCCACA